AAAAAAAAAAAAAAAAGTGTTTTATGTATCTATCAAAAAGAGAGGTGAATGGTACATTTCAGAAATGGCTCCATGTAAAACTATTAAGTTTTAAAGCTTTCTGAAATCTTGACCTCCCAAAAAACTAGTTCATGAAAGTTTGATGAAAATGTCTAATTGTTAGGAATGTGTTAGTTTTTAAATCAGTTTCACTTCTGATGCAGTGTATAAATATAACATTCCATACATGAATGTGAGTTCATGTGGTGCAAGCTAATGTAACCAAAATGTAATCAATGGTTTTAATTTGGCTTAAATTTATGATAACTATCATTACATGTTTGTCTTAAAGGGGGATCTGTGGCTCATTTGCTCAGTAAATATGGAGCCTTCAAAGAATCAGTAGTTATTAACTATACTGAACAATTACTTCGTGGCCTTTCATATCTCCATGAAAACCAGATCATTCACAGAGATGTCAAAGGTAAGAATTCTTTTCATTACTACATATTAGCAAGAGGTAGACATCAAATGTAGTTTTAAAACTCAGACCTTTGTTGATAATTTCTAACTTGAGATTATCTATGGGACTGTTTCCCCTGAGTAACTCAAATCACGAGAATTATTCTAAGCGAAAGGAACCTTTGGAATCATATAATCTGCCTTCCTTAGGCTGTGACTTTTCCATTCTTACTGCTTTTTTTTTTTTTTTTTTTTTTTTTTTTTTTTTTTTTTTTTTCAGTCTGATAACTAATGGCAAACCAAGTATAAAATTTAGGTCTCTGATTACCTTACTTGGTCTCCTGATTTCTACTGCCTCCCCAAAAGTTCCCATTCCTGGTTTTATTTAAAATAACTGGGATATTATGAACTTTTTTGAGAAAAAGCCTTTCAGATCTTTTGCAGTTTATTTTGTTTAAGAGCAGCTTTGGTTTCCTGACATGAAAGTCTTTGGCTAGTATTTGACAGTGTGTATTTTGAATTGGTCTTAGGTATATTTCAACAAATTTTGTCTTAAAATGTAAGCTACACTAAAACTTTAATGTTGAGGGAAGGTTTTTGTTGGGATTCATTATATTAAAGATTTTCAACACTTAGTGACATTTCACTAAATGTCTGCCTTTGTATTTCTTTATGCCTTCTTACTTTCATCTTCCCTTTGAGGATTTGGGATTTTATTTGTTTTACATGTCGATATCTGTGTGCCTTTGAATTGAGAGGGGAGAGTTCTCTGAACCTCTGACATACCCATTTCTTCTGTGATTGTCCTATTAGTAGTATTTTACTGAGATTTGAATCCTTTTGTTTTTTAACATACAAGGTTATTTGCTGTTTTTGTTGACAGGTGCCAATTTGCTAATTGACAGCACAGGTCAGAGACTGAGAATTGCAGATTTTGGAGCTGCAGCCAGGTTGGCATCAAAAGGAACTGGTGCAGGAGAGTTTCAGGGACAGTTATTGGGGACAATTGCATTTATGGCACCTGAGGTGAGAAGCAGCTTTGAGTGTGATGAAAGAAAATATCTGGAGTTCTATGTGACAGAATTATAGCAAATTAGTTTGCGGTGTTATTCAGTATATGCTTACCACTTAGAAGTCCATGAGTCTAAAAATAAGGTTTTAATGGTATCCTTGATTTCAGACTCTTAATCCCTGCCTTTCTATCTTGGTCTTGACAAAATTTTAAAAGATGGGTTTTCGTAGATTTGCTTAAAAGCTATTTCTAACAAAGAATTTTGGGGTAATTTATACTACTTGTTTTGTAGTAAGCCCAAAGTGCACATAATTAGAAATCTTAACAACTGTTCTCTCTCTATTCAAAAGGCAGATGACACAGAAGCAGGACTTAGTAGAAGTTTAAGTAAACATTACAATTCTGAATTAGGCTTCTTTTGTGTTCACAACTCTTCGTGTTCATATGTAATGATAACTGGTTGTCCTTTGGCCCCATAGTTAACTTTTAAGTGCACTGGGGCTGCTTTGAAATTCTGTGATGTGATCCTTCTTCAGAATCTCCCAGTTCTCCAAAATATTTTTTGTACCACACAGATTAAGTTTGTTGATGAAATAAATGAGACATCAGACTAGTCCATGGAATTGCTGTTTGTACCATTGTTCTGGTTTGAAATAAAAAAACTAGAATCCGTAACTACAGAATGTCTTTGTCTTTTTTTAATGGATCCTCTTTCCAAATTAACTCTCTTTTTTATTTTAGGTACTAAGAGGTCAGCAATATGGTAGGAGCTGTGATGTATGGAGTGTTGGCTGTGCTATTATAGAAATGGCTTGTGCTAAACCACCCTGGAATGCAGAAAAACACTCCAATCATCTTGCTTTGATATTTAAGGTATTTATGATATAAAAATTACTTCTTTCCACTAAAATTGGCAGGAGGAAGATTTTCATGGGTTCTCCTTAACTCTCAATCTAATGTCCAGGTAGATCTTCCTTGAAATAAATATGTATGTATACATATGCAGGAATTCATATGGTGCGGTGAATGCTGGCAGCATGTACAGTTGGTTCTCATTTTTCACAGTAGTTAGGCTCCATAAAGTCATTGTGAACAATGAGTTAGCAAATAATGAGTCATTGTTCCTAGGTGAAATATGTGTATATCTCAGACTTTCAAGTGTAAAAATGTAAAGCTCTTCCTTCCTGTATATAATCCACAAAGTTTTACAATCTGATTTACTATTTTCTGTATTTAAAAAATGTACACCCAAGTCAGGTGCCAAATCCTGTCTGTCCATTTCCATCAAAGAATAGTAGAATAGTTGAGATTTTTAGCTTTTGATCCAGACATGTGCTAGGTAAAAGCTAGGGCTTTGCAGCCATACAGACCTGGTTTCAAACCCTGGTTCCATAAAGCCGTGTGACTAGGGAAATGATTTCTGTCTACCCTCTGTTTTCTTGGTTATAAAATAGGTATAATAACAGCACCTACTTCATGGGATTATTATGGGAACAAACAAAATTACCTCTGGGTCTTAGTGAAGCCCTTAGCACACAGCTATCTGTGGGCACAGTGACTAGTATCAGTCCTGTGCACTGGCTCCCCAGCACCTCACACCTGCCATAACTTCTTCCAGCCCTTTTCACACTCCTAGAACTTCCTCATTCAGTGCAGGTGTGTTTCTAATGTACTGGCCAGGTTTGGTCTTGCTCACTTGGAATAGCTCGCTGTGCTGAATATTAGAAAATGCATGATGAAGCAAAGATCACAAAAGCCATACTGGAGAATGAATATGAGTAAAGCATATAGTAAACTGAATACTCTTCCTGTCTGACCATTTTGATGCACTTAGTCTTGTTCATTTGAGACAGTAAGGAAAACCATAGATCGACCTGATCCGGATGTAGTTGATCAATCTAAAATCGTAAAATTTGAAGGTTCTTGAAGGAAGCCTCCCATCCAGCGGGTGAGTTTTTGCACAGATTGTCAGAAGGAAGTCCATCCACTGTAGCCTCAGTCCCTGTGTACAGGATGCACATACAGAGGCTTTGAAATCTATGCACATGTACTAATACATCAGAAGTTCCAATCGTGGCAAGTTTCAGCACAGGTGGTTTTCTTACAGATTGCAAGTGCAACTACTGCTCCATCGATCCCTTCACATTTGTCTCCTGGTTTACGGGATGTGGCTCTTCGGTGTTTGGAACTTCAACCTCAGGATAGACCTCCGTCAAGAGAGCTACTGAAGCATCCAGTCTTCCGTACTACATGGTAGCCATTTACACAAACTATAATGGGGACAGGATGCTCATCAAGAGAAAAAAAACTTTTGTGGGGAACCACGTTGATAATCTGCTGGCCTTCATGCCAACGAACAGCTATGAACAAGACCAGTGGGAACCCTTACCTAAGTATGTGATTGACAAATCATGATCTGTACCTAAGCTTAGTATGCAAAAGTCCACAGTTTGTGCAGACACTATAAACTGTGCCTTTCAAAGAACTGGCCATAGGTAAACAGAAAAGCAATGAAGTTTGCATGACTAATGAACAGCAGCATATTTTGGGGTTTTTTTGGAGCACTTTTTCAGCAATATTAGCAGCTGAGGGGCTCAGGATCTATTTTAATGTTTCAATTATTCTTCCATTTCATATCATGATCACAGGCAGGGGGTTCTGCAATTCCGTTCAGTTTTTTGTCACTGGCTATAAATCAGTATCTGCCTCTTTTAGATCGGAATATGCTATAAGTAGCAGTAAATAAATATATTTTTAAAAGTTGATGACTTCTTTATGAACCACAGTTGACCTTTATTTTTTAAATGCCTGGGCAGTTGTGGTTCACTGTGCATTTTACTGTTGGCCCATTCATTTCGTTTTTGGAAATTATGGTTCT